GCTTTTCACCCCAGTAGGGAGTCTATGAATAAATATTTACATATTTGTGAAGATTGTCTGCGAAACAAGGGGCTTTAGCTGCCTTTTTTTTTAGGTGCCTCAAGTCAATGCTTATTGGTCTAGTGTTTTGGTTTTTTTTTTAAAAACAAACCCCCCCACAAATTAGTGCCCACTCTTATGATGATACAAAATGAGAACTTTTCAATCAGTGTTGCATGTTCTTAACTCAAGGCTGATAAACCTACTATGAATGAAAAATTGAGTGTATAATGGTTTGTTGAGTTAGAACTACTAGTTACTTGCAACTTATTTGTAGTCCATAATGTCGAGGAGTACTAGTCATGGACTGATCCCACTGTTCTAGGTGATGTCAAAAGAAAACCTTTGCTTCGTTATATGGATCTCTAGGCCTTCTCAGTCAGCATCAGTGGTGAAAACAGTCAGTTGGGTTGTGCATTCTTTTGTTACCAATGACTTCCAAGCCAGCAAAGCAATGGACATTTTCAGAGGAAGGCAGGGTAGCTTTGCACCTTACAGACTAACCAAAGTAGACATACTGGTTAGTCTATAGGTGCAAATCGACCTTGCTTTCTATTTGACATCAGACTCGCACTGCTAACTGTCTCTATTTTCACAAGTCATATGTATTGGATTATATGTGTTAAAACACTATTAAAAAAAAAAAAAAAAAAGCAGAAATTGATTTCACATTCTTCTAAAGGGAAGAATTGGGGAACAGTCCCTACTATAGGTCATGTATTTGTCTGAGAATGGAAGACTAGTGCTGTTCTGCTTCTTAAAAGAAGGTCATCTTGGAAACCCTAGCAAGTCAAACTACTATAGTCCAAGTCTTTTTTTTCTGTTTTAACTTTTATTTTCAATGCTAATACTTTACCATAAAGAATTTTCGACACATCAGGTCAACATAATGCAGCTCAATGTGTTAGATTAAGCTGACTTTAGTATTCTTAAATATTGTGACTTCAAACATGACTGTCTTAAATTTAATGCTTGTTGTTATTGTTAGGAGGAAGCTTGGACTCTTAGCAGTACCTGCTGATGAGAAATGGAAAGCAGTGTTTGAAGAATGCTGGCAGCAGCTGGGTTGTGAGAGTCCAGGCCAAGGGGATAGATGGAAGGCTTGGGATAGTATTGCTGTGGCCCTGACCACCAATCGGCGTCAACACAAAGACAGGTTGGTGCTCTTGACATTGTGAGACTTTAGTTCAAACATGAAAAATTCACTGATTCTGCCTCCTGATGCAGAATGTTGGTTCCAGAGTATAGGGGTTGGCATCAGTTTGAGTCTCTTACTGGTTGGCATTTGTTTGATCCCTATAACTGGCTTTTACCCCCATTTGGCATTTGGTGTGAGAGGGTACCAGGTGATACAGATTGGAAGAGGTGTCTAATTCCACGTGTGTATTTACCTGTCTCTGTGTAGTGCTAGGTAAATGTTTAGAAACAGCAGTAATCTAACTATTTGGAAGAATGCTAAATTCCAGGGAAGACTAATGGGGAGTTGGCTCATATATAGAGAGTAGGGCTGTGCGAAGCTTTGCCGGCTATTTCGTTTCGACCTCAAAACAATTAATCGGAACAAAATGAAGGGCTTTGAAACGCAATGATGCTTGTCAAAACGTTTTCTAATTTTGAAGCGGCCAGCCAGGTGGTGGGAGGCACGGGAGAGCCAGGGCTGCCCTCCTGAGTGGCTCCACAGCCCCATGTGGCTCAGCTTGGTGGGGAGCGCAGCCCTGGCTCTCCTTTTCTCCTGCTGCCAGGCTGCGCTCCGATTGGGTCCACCAGCCCCATGGAGCTCAGCCTGGTGGCGGGAGGTGAGCAGAGCCAGGGCTGCACTCTGCCACCAGGCTGTATGGGGCTGGGAGCTGCTGGCAGCAGAGCCTGGTGGAGAAAAGCGTCTCCTGCCACTGGGCTCAGCTCCCAGTGGGGGAGCAAGCAGCCCACGATGGCTCCTCTGCTTTCTCTTGCTCTGCTCCGGGACAGTCTCTTCCAGCTTCTGTGTGAAGGCGTCTCCCCCTAGTGGAGGGCTGGGGGGTTTGGGCAGGGCAGGGACTGGGCTGGCGGCCAGGCCGGCAGGGCTTGCAGGCAAACTTCAGACTCCACGGCTGCCTATGGCATCACCTGGCCTGGAAGCCCATGTCAAGCTCCTGCGGTGGGCCAGGACCCACGGCACTGAGGAACTGGGCCCCCTGCCTGCGCTCCTGCTGCTGTCCAGCCTCAGGCGATTGGAGCACAGGCAGGGGGTCCATTTCCTGGCCTTGTAAACCCAGCCAGGAGGCAAAGGCCAGGGCCACAGCCAGCCTCTCTTCCCCCCGATCTGCCCCAGCGCTGGAGAACTGAGCCTGGTGGTGGGAAGCACCTCCCGCCACTAGGCTCAGCTCCCAGCGACTTGCAGCCCTGGGGAACTGAGCCCGTTGGTGGGGGAGTTTATAGGCCATTTCGTGCTTCCCCCATTATAGCCTATGAGCGAAATGTCAAAACAGCGAAACCATTTTGACAAAATGGAACAGTGCTTTCTAAATGAAACGCTGTTCCATTGAAACGGAAGTCAAAGCAGAACACTGCTGTTTCTCACAGCCCTAAAAGAGTTCTGTTAACACTATGTATTTCAGAATGATTCGTAATGGATTTGAAAAGCTAAGAAATAAAAGTTAAGGTAGAGGCCTTTTTAGAAGAGAACGTGTTCAAATTTCATCTGAAAACGTAGAGAAGCTATTCAAGATGTTGGGACCTGCAGGAAAGAATCGCACAGCATTAGTGAGGACTCACCTGCTCTCACACCAGAGCATGGAGCAACAGGTGGCTGCTCCTTCCCTCCCTTACTGGTCTATGGGAATAGCAAGAGCAACTGCTTCCCCTGCCTTCCCCAGACCAGGGTGATACCAATCTTGGGAAGGTGTGGGGAGCTTTTCCTTGACTCCTCTTGGAAACCAGGAGTTGGGCAGCAAGTAGTGGGGAAATATACAGGCATTCCTCCTCCCAGGAAGAACTCTCCCAGGAGCAACCTCTGCCAGGTTGGAGTCTTGAGTTTTTCTGCCAAAACTGACGGTTTGGTTTTGTTTGGGGAGAAACTGGTACAAATTCCCATACATGTCTGATTTCTGCTGGGAAATCTGAAGTTTTCCAGGTAGAAACATAATGCATGTATATGGCCAGTGTCAAGTTTGGGAAGTTTAGAGAAGAGAACATGGTGGATGGAATTTGTTTCCTTGTGCTCCATTTCTCATCCTTTGCCTGTTTTTAAGAGACTGTTTTGTGGGGGCAGGGGGAAATATATATCTACATTTAGACTCTAAAAATCAGTAATTGGTTTATTTGTAGAGTGTGTCTTGTATTATTAGAATATAGACTGTCTGTCCTTTGTATTGCTACAGCCCAGAAGTATTGAGTCGCTCACACACTCAGACACTGGAGAGTTTGGAATTCATTCCACAACATGTTGGTGCCTTCACACTAGAGAAATATGAAAACATCAGGAAATATTTAATAAAGGTATCATAACCAACCACTTTTGGTTCTTGTCTGTAAAGTCTGGTTTAAGGTTTCATAACCTGCTAACTTCCAGTTATCCCGCTGACTTCAGTTGTTGTTCAGGTGTGGTTCCTTTTGGTCCTTTCTGTACTTGCATGTCATACTTACTCACAAGCCACATGCAACTTTTCCCCCAGTAATCTGCTCTTCAAAATTGAGATACACCTCTCAAGCTGTAAAGGTGATTTCTGTGCTGGAATTGAAGTACAAAAATGTAATGGCTGCTGGTGCTGTCCCTTCTTCCAGCCAGGAAGGGTGGGAAGAGCATGCTCTGCAGTGTGATGGCTTAACCATTTCACAGTTGCTGCCCAACTGCCAGTAGCTTTTGGCTGAGTGCCTTAATGAAATGACTTGGTAAGTGTAGCACACAGTAGCTTGTTTGAAGGTTAAATTACTGGATTTTTGAGCAGTTAAACTGAGACTTATTTTCAGTTCTTGAACTTCAGAAAATCTCTTGGACTTGTTTTGTAGCTGCATAACCATCTGATCATGTGATTTTAATACCTCTCCCTTCAGGCCTGTGACACCCCTCTCCATCCCTTGGGAAGGCTTGTGGAGACCCTAGTAGCTGTGTACAGAATGACTTACGTTGGAGTGGGAGCTAATCGGCGATTACTACAGGAAGCTGTGAGAGAAATTAAATCCTACCTCAAACGCATCTTCCAGTTGGTCAGGTAAAAAGAATCAGATTTTAAGTTAGGCTTCTGTTGGATCAATAGAGACACCTTTCATTTTAACTGGCTAGAACTAATTTAGACCGAATGTGCCAGCATCTACTTCACTTTAAAGAATTTTGCATTTAGGAACTGTCTTGAAAGAATTTTCTGCTTTAGCTGACTTGACAAATCAGAACAGCAAACCCATTCCTCTAACCCCCATCCCATGGTGTGTTTACTTATTAAGGCCCTGCCTGTAGCAGAAGGCATTCTTCAACATAGTCTAAAAGTAGTTGTTGCTAGCTTGTCTCAAAGGTGTTTCTAAACCGGTCCCCACAGATCACGCACATGGAAATTGGGGGTAGAGGAGACGAGGTTCTTTGGGTAAATGTGATATCTTTTATTAGACCAACTAAATAGTTGGAAAAATTGCTCTTTGCAAGAGGAGCGCGCTTTAGAACAGCCTTGGGAATATTCTCCTCTTGCACTGTAGTAGAGTTCTGCTTAATGCAAATAGTTTCTAGTTAGCAGGCTTTCACCTGCGGCATGATACAACCTAAATAAAAGAGGCTACTTTGGCATTTAGCTGGCCTTTAACTGTTTTGTAAGATACCTCTTAAAAGGTATAAATAAATATAATCCATGCATAAATTTATAGTACTGTAAACTCTACATGGTGATCCTGGATGTCTTGGAGAACGCCTGCATTTTTAGTATGTTAGCAAATGGATTGGTGTAATGTGATTGTTTTGTTTAGGTTTTTGTTTCCTGATCTCCCAGAAGAGGGCAGCACAATTCCACCCATTGTGACTGAAACAAAGGGAAGGACATCCTTCTGCAGTGGGAAAACTGACTCCAGATCAGAATCTCCTGAACCTGGGTGTGTAGGGAGATTTCTTCAAAAAGCTAGTAAAGAATTATTTTTCACACAACATACCTTATCCTGAAAGCGCTTAAACACCTATTTAAAGACAGGGATGTGCTTAAGTGGTGTCCTGAATTAGGTTGCACCTATATTGCACTTTCCAAAGGAAAAACTCTTAGCCTTTGCCTGTGAAAATAGATACTGATGGCCAAACAGCCATGTAATATTTGCAATAAGTATTTCCTCCTAGGCACCCCAGAGTAGAGGCAAAAGGCAAATTTCACACTGCAGGAATGTGTGGAATCTGGAAATATAATGTAGCACTCAAATTTTAGATTAGATTAAAAAAAACCTGGGCTTTAGTACTGCGCTATTGCACTTGGACTCTGTTAATCAAAGTAGTGTCTTGTTCTTAAATATCACTTAGCTAGATGTTAGTCCATTAATTGGCATCCTTTTAATTATCCTTTCCCCAACAGAAAATGCGCATTTTAAAATAGCAGCATACTTGTTCTTTTAGCTTAATTTGTTATCTATAAATGTTTCATTCTTGCCACTTTTAGCTATGCGGTTACCAGTTCTGGGTTGCTGCTTCCTGTGTTGTTACCACGACTCTACCCTCCTTTGTTTATGTTATACGCCTTGGACAACGAACGTGAGGAAGATATTTACTGGGAATGTGTTCTGCGTCTAAACAAACAATCCGATACAGCTCTTCTGAGCTTTCTTGGTGTCCAGACGTGAGTATGTTGTGTAAAAATAATGGTTCCAGCATAATAAATATTTGGATGATGTTAGTCAAACTATCCAAATGTTTCCTGACACCATTACATCTTTCACGCACTGCTTCTGTATTTCTCTAACTTCTGTGATACAATTCCATAAACACATTGATCTCCATCTAAGTAGCATGGGTAAACAAATTGATTGTATATACTCTCTTTAAATGGTAGTAGTAGGTTGTGGTGGAAAAGGCATGTTTTATGGGTACAGAAATAATACATCTGTTCTTAAATGCATTAATCTTACAGAAATGTTCCAAACTTTCTGCAAAGTATAGATTTATGGGGAAAGCCCTCACGTTTTTTAGAAAAGCATGTGTCGTCATATGCATAAGATTGGAAACTGCTTTTTTAAGAACAGTAAGTTGCATTTTCTTAACTGCAATATATGGGGTTTCTTCTAGGAAATTCTGGCCAGTGACTGTGTCCATCCTGGGAGAAAATAAAAAGGTACATCCACTTGGACTGTGTTTAATCTACACTTTGCCCAAAGCTTACATCTAGAAACAAAATGTGCTGGCAGGAGGGAGTTCTTCTATTTCAATAAGTTTGGTTTTCTTAGCACTTAGCTTTGAAACAATAGACAAAATCATATTTACAACACTGGTGACTAGCAGCTATCACACCAGAGGTGAAGCTTATTGATAACTGCTTTATTCTTTATAAAGATTTGGACATTATTAGAATTTAATATTTTTAAGTTTGACCCTATTTTACTTGATCTACAATTGTGAAAGTATGAAGCTAGAGAGTGGGGCCCAGGGCTGCTTCTCTTGCTTCCATGGGACCTGATGGGCAGAGGGGTGGCTGTGGGGCACTGGTGACACATAGGGGGTGTAAGTGCACCCCCTACAAAAAAGTGCTGCCGACACTGTCAGAGGCGCCTGTGGGTGGTCGCCACTCACCCCTGGCCACTGCCACTGGCAGCGTCTGCAGCAGTATCTGCAGGTAATCGCCAACCCCTGTTCAGTGCTCGCCACCCCGCCTTCCCCCCACTGCTGACACCACCAGCAGCATCTGCGGGAGCTCATTGCTTGCTGCCACTGTGCCCCCCCCAGCTGCTGGGGGCATGTGTTGTTGATGCTATGGGGAGTGACTACACGGAATGCCAGCCTTGGCCAAGGACAGTAGCGGCTGGGGGCCGGCTTCTCCTTCCTGTGCCTGTTACCCACTGCACTGGTAGGGAGCAGGCACTGAAAGAAGGAACTCGCCTGCCACTGTCCCAGGCTAAGCCCAGCAACCCACACAGCTGCTACCTGCAGCCCTCAGTTGGTACTGGGCGGCTTCCCCACGCTGTCTGTCAGAGACAACAGTGGCAGTACATGGGTTCCTTATTGTAGCACCTGCTCCCAGCCAGTGGGGGAGTATTATGAAGCAGAACAGATGAAAGAAGGGGAAACCTACCTGCCACGGGTGCTGTTCCCTGCTCAGCCTAACACCCCATGCAGCTGCAGCCCACAGCTGGAGTGGCTCTGGGACTTATTCTTTCTCTCCCCGCCCAGCCCCACCTGCCTAAGTTAGCTGGGGACAGTGGCAGCAGTGGACAGGTTTCCCTTCCCCAGCAGCATTTGCCCCCACCCGACTTCCTGTGCTTGCTCTGTGGTGTTCCCTGCTGGCCCAGGGGCTTCAGATGCAGGGAAAAAGGGTATGCCACACTTAGCTGAAGCCAGTGGCAGTAGAATTGGGGTGCAGCTACACTACTGAATTCCCCCTGGATCCATCCCTGGGCCTATCTGCTTTTATTCCAGTCTCCTCCCTGCCCTCCAGTATGTTAAATGCAATTTCCCAGAACTCTATCCTTGTGGACACTTCAGATTTAACATTTCAGTTCTTCAAGGACATGTGATGGAGCAAACAGCTGTACAGCCTTAGGAAGGGTTTAAAAAACTACTTTATTGCTTGTCTTAGCATAAGCAATATGACAGTTTTGTCAAACAGTAAAATACCTCTCTGAATTTTTCCCTGTCTGCTCTATCACTGTTCCAGCATTCTTTGGGTACAGGTCAGAGTCCTCAGTCTCAGTGTCACTTTCCTGTGTATGGAATCCTGCACTGTTTCTTTCTTATGCAGCCAGTTCCATTTCTCATTTGGCTGGTACTATAGTGAAGCTGGATCCCTTTTTGTATGAAAGTTTGCCTTACTATGCTCTTTTCTGCCAGAGTCCATAAAAAATTCCCCTGTTCTTTCTCCCCCACAAATTTTCAGGCTGTGTGTGTGTAAGATCTACTATTTAGGTGTCTTCTGGATCTGACAAAATTCTGCTGTGCTAAACCCCCTGCCTACAGACACAACAAGCTGGACTACTTACCCTAGACTTCAGCCATCCCACTGTCCTTAGATGTTCCCTTTTAAATGATAGCCATTGTTCTTTGTTTTGGATATACCTGATAGTTTTATGTGGCAGACTCCCTAGATGCTGTGGCATTCAGCAATACAGGCATTTAATAAACTTGACCAGAATTTGTGAAAGTTTTCAACTGACAGATTCCCCAAATCTACCCTGCTTGCTTTTCCTTGAATGTATCTGTCTTATGGATTAATTTAAAATTTTTCAGTAGCCACAATCTGCCTCTTTCTGAGCAGTCAGAAGTATATACGAGAGTTTTTCAAATCCTAAACAAGTTTTTTTTTTTTCCTGTTCCCCCACCCCCCCTCCCTGACTACCTAGGTGATGCCAAGTACAAAAGATTCTTGCTTTGCCTCAGCTGTTGAGTGTTTGCAGCAGATCAGGTAACCCTCTGACATTACCTGCTGAATTCATGTTTAAATGCTGTCAGTCTTTTTATTTACTAGATTGCAGTTTTTATTTTTCCTCATGATATTGCCATTTTTATTATAAAAAATGGGGAAGATCAGAGTTGTAAATGGCCAGTACTGTGCCTTGGACAGCAGCAGCTGGAGGTTCACTGTTGCAGGGGAAAAGGTGTCACTTGTATCATCACCAGCTGCTGCTCCAGAACGGCTGCTGCTTCTCTGCCCTCCTCACTGCTAGAGTGGGGACAGGAGAGAGGCACTCCCAGCAACTTTCTCTGTGAAAAGGATTTAACAATTGCTGGATATGTGGTTTCACATAAAGAATTTGAAGGAGAGGGGAGGAAAACAAATGCTCCTAAATGACAAATGCGTTTAAGAGCCTTAAACAAGAATTTCATTCAATAGCATGTCTTGATCCAGCTCACTTGCATCTACTAATGTAATGTGCAGCTAGTATATTCTCAGAAATAATGGTTGCTGCGATGTAAATGATCAGTGACTTGTAAAAGTTTGACTGGATTTTCTTTTGTAGAAAAGAAATTAAAATGGTAACTAACCATCTGCTTTCCCATTGTGGTAAGCGAAACTTGCAACGCTTGTAATCTTGCTTGTTTCCTTTTCCCAAAGTACCACTTTTACTCCATCTGACAAACTGAAGGTAATCCAGCAGACTTTTGAGGAGATCTCTCAGAATGTTCTTGAGACTCTTCAGGAAGACTTCCTCTGGTCCATGGATGACTTATTTCCTGTTTTTCTTTATGTGGTGCTACGAGCCAGGTGAGCAGCTGTCACTTTAAAGCATCTTGTATCATAAACCCATACACTAAAAATCAGCAGGAGAACTGAATTTAATAAAGCAGAAGAACTCTGGTTTAGTCTCCTAGGATACTTAAAAGTATGTAACTTTAAGTCTATAAAATATGGATACCACCACCTACATATGCAGAGAATACGCTATTAACTACTTTTGAATATTAGCATGCATAGCAAAGGTAGCCTCTTTACTAGCCTTTACGGTTTCTGAATCATTCCAAGTTTTTGTTTGCTTCTAACTTTTTTTTTTTTTTTTTTGCAGATCTTTCCATTTTTGTGGCTTGCTTATTCTTTTTTTTTTTTTTGGAAAGCTTCTGAAAAAAAAGATTAGAGAAAGATGTTTTGTGTATTTGTCAGTCTCCATTTCTTCCTTTATTATGGTAGCATACTTGGTGATAAAAGGAATGCAATAGCACATCTCTTTCCTCTCATTTGACAGGATAAGGAATTTGGGGTCTGAGGTACACTTAATTGAAGACCTGATGGACCCGTTTCTCCAGCATGGGGAACAAGGCATCATGTTCACAACCCTGAAGGCAAGTGTTCAAGATAAATGGTATTGTCTAAAATAAAATATTGTTCTTTTCTCTGGTTAATGTTCTCTGTACTGTGCCTATGGCAATGACCACAGCTAGAGCTGGTTGTGATTTCTTAATCTTTCCTCAAAACTTTATCTGCTGTGAGGAACAATGATGTCAAAATTCAAGCAGACCTATTCATTTTTTTTTTTTTTTTTTTTTTTTTACATGCTTTGTAGGTAATCTGAACAACAGTATTTACTGGCTTTGATTCCTTTGTGTTGTGCTGCTCCTATGACTTCAACCACTCTAGTATATATTGGAGTCTTGACATTTGTACTTTTAAATGTGAGGTAGGACTGGTTTGTTTTGTGAAGAAAAATCAAGTTTTCCAGTGTGAAACAAAACCAGATATAGAACAGAAGGCAAGGCATGTTGTGCTGCTTTGTGAAAGAGCATGACACATCCCAGAACAGTCAAAAGCTTCAGTGGTTAGGATCCCCACCTGTGGAAAGCCCAGGTTCAGGAGAGTTTGGATCAGGGACTTGAACCCGAGTAGTCCATGTCCCAGGTGATACCACGGCTTCATTGCCTATTTTAAGAGGGCTCGGGAGGTCTGTCTGTCCCAAGGAAAGTTCTAATGAAAGTCAAACGTTCTATGGCATTAACCAAAACAAATACATTTCCATAATCAGTTTTGTTTTGACCAATTAGAATTTCCAACAATCTTCCATCAAAATTTAATCTCAACCAGCTCTAGTGCAAAAGGGTCAGTTACCTAACTCCAACAGAAGTTGGAAGTAGAGTTGGCTTTTTGTTATGATACATCAAATGTATGCTTTTAACGAAATTCTGGGTGAAAGATCAGTGTCTGAGTTCACTAATTTTACTAAAAGAATCTGTTTGACATCCCAAAGCTTTTCTGTTAAATTTTCAGGTATTGTTCACCTGAGCTGCATTGAAGCCATTCATTTAGAAGTGAATTTATCTGGTCACATTAGGTTGAGATTGAGACTTGAGACAGATTGTCATGGCATTTATCTCGGTATTTTCTGACCCTTTCTTTTGATCTTATCCTCCTTGCAAACTAGGGGAACAGTGACCTGCAGCAGAGTGTGACTTCCATGCGGTTGTCATGGGACATCCTGACAACAAACGTCATTTTTGGGGGAGCCAAAGTTGTTTTTGGTTTTGGGTTTTGTTTTGTTTTGTTTTTCAAATACCTGGGTCCAAATGTAATGTGGAGTTTAAGACTTAAAACATTTCACTTCTATTTAATGCCTCAGCTTGCCACATTTTAAGTGATTTTATTATTATTTTGAAAGACCTTGCAGAAATTCTAGCCCCCATCCTTCCCCTCTTTCTTAGCAGGAGAAATAATTTGATATAATGTATTTAGTAGCATAAAAATGGTACTGAAACTTAGCAGATTTTTTGTTTGTTTTAATTTAGGCTTGTTACTACCAGATTCAACATGAAAAGCTTACATAGCTCATTCCCTGCAGCTGCTGCATATGGGAGTATCTTCTGAGCAAGCCTTTAGTAATCTCCAGAGTCTTTTCTGGAGTGACACTTAGAACAGAGAATACCAAGATGATGATGTGCTTCTGAACCTTGTGTAAAGACTGAAAAACTGAAGCCTGGAGATGACGGAGGCAGAATAATCGTACCTGAATTTGGCCTGTGAAGCAGTCTCCAGGGAAAGATCATTTGCTATGCTAAAGGAGGGATTGTTTACTCTTCCCGAACTAACAGGCTTTTTAAAAGAAGGCATGGCATCAACTTGGAATGCATTTGAGGATTCTGCACATATGGCTTTCAGGCTCTCTTCTTTGTGTGTGCCTGCAAGGACCATAAATTTATTTTAAAGGAATTGAATGGCACTCTGGAACCATTCTGTCTTCCTGAATTAAGAATTTTTGTGTGTGTGTCTTTTTAAAGGAAAAAAAGTGGCCATGTTTAGTATTTATAATGGGCAGCCTGCAGAACATCTGGCTGGAAGGGTTCTGATGCATCTTTTTAAAGCATGATTGCTGAAAGCAGCCCTTGGGTGCTGTTGTGGAATTTGTCTCACTTTTTTTATATAGGCACCCCTGCTTCCACAGTGGGAAGAACACAGGAAATCATGGTTTGTTTTTTGTTTAAGAAGTAAATGAGGCACTGACCAGTTTAAATTTCAGCACTGATTTTGGTATTTTTAGGTTTAGGTTTGCACAGGTTTTAGTTTCATTGTATTTAAGGCCCATCAAGTCCATGCCACTGGAGAATGGAAACATGTTCTTGAACAAACTGACAACAGGTTAGGGCTGATGCCCACCCTTAAGCTGTTATTTATTTAATAGGTGGGGAAGACTCTGCATTTTTTCCAAAAGTATTATAAAATAGAAAAATGATTTTGTGTTGGGTTGTGTTCTACTGTTTCATTATCTTGGCTTCTACAAATAACACTAGTGGACACTTTGGATACCATAGGTGCTATTCCTTACCATGTCTGACAAAAGTGTGAAATGTATGGAATATTCTCATGGCTCAAGGTATCTTGAATTAGCACAGTAAATGCTAATCATAGATTTGAAAATCAGAATCAGGGGTTGCTTGTTGATGCTTTAAACAGTGGGGGTGGGCGGGGGAAGAAACTGTTCACTGAAATTTATTCTCTGGAGCAGTGACTGTAAACTAGCAGTTTTCATAATAAATTTAAGAATATTTGTCTTTGAGATTTTTGTGGTTGTTTGACGAATAGAATAAAAGTTAAGAGAGTCCATTAAAACTACATCTTGACAGAACAACCTACTTCTCCAAAAGAATCTTCCTACAACGAGGAACCATCTTAAGTGTCCCACTAAAGTAGATATTTCATATAATTTTTACACATCTATAGGAGAGCTTTACGCAGAAGGTTGTAATTTCATGTAGTAAAACTATTTTTGGTCTAAGCAAACTGTTTTTTCTTGAACATCACTGGAAAACCCTCTTGGGGCAAGAGTTTTTGAAAAACAAACAACTGAAGTGATATGTTCTTGGAATTTTTGTGTCAGATCTTGTTGCTATTAAAACACTTGCAAAGGTTGACTTCAGTTGAAACTTTTTCAAGTTGCTCCTCACAACCAGGGAGGAACTGATTGAGAAAGCAAAGCTGGATGGTAACTTTGGTGACAATGACTATGGAATGAAAGAGTTCAAGATCCTACGGGAAGGAAGGAAACCAACAGAATCAAGGCACTGGACTTCAAATAAGTAAATTCTAGGAACTGGTGGGCAGGATCCCCTGAGAAGCAAGTCTGAGGGGGGAAAGGAACCCAGGAAAGCTTGCTGTACTTTATGGACATTGGTGACACATAGCTGGAGACTGGCGATGCACCCCCTGACAGAAGTGCTGCCAGCAGTGCCTGTGGGCTGTCGCTGCTTGCCCCGCACCACTGTGGCTGCCTGCGGAGCTCCCCACTCCCATGCCCCCACCACCTGCAGGTGGTTGCCGTGTCCCGCCCCAGCCTCTGTGGTGTTCATGGTTATGGAGGTGGTACTAAAGGTGCAGGGGCAAGCTGTCCAGGTGTGAAAAGAATGGGAAGTGCAGCAGGAGAGCAGCCTGCCTAGACCACAATCTCTTCCATGAGTTAAAACTCTAATACTACAAAAACTGTAAATTTGATCATTTACCAGAGGAGCATGAGGCTATTGCACAGGCATGCAGGGAGAAAATCGGGAAGGCCCAGGCATCTTCTGAGATGAAACTGACCAGGGACATTAAACGGTAATTGATTAGAAAGGGAATCTATGAGCATGTCAGAAGTTAAGAGGAAAACCAAAGAAAGTGCAAGTCCTTTAATATAGATGGCAATCTAGTTATGTATGATGCAGAGAAAGCAGAAGTATTTTAATGTCTTCAGTCTTCATGGAATCAAGTCGGCTATTAGATGACAAGTGCAGTAGGCAGGAAAGAGACAAACAGCTTAGATTAGTAGAAGATCAGATTAGGGGTTACTTGGAGAAGCTGAATGCTTTCAAGTTGGCAGGGCCACGTGCATGCATCCTAGGGTACTGAAGGAATTGGTTAAGATTAATTTTGGAGCCTTCGGTTATCCTCTTTGAGAGCTCCTTGGAGGTTGGGTAAGATCCTAGATGACTGGAAAAGGACAAATATAGTGCCTGCCTTTAAGAAAGGGAAGAATGAAGATCTGGGGAATAGCAGATCAGTTAGCCTGACCTCAAGAAATGGAAAGATCATGGAGCAGGTCCTCAAGGAATCCATTGTGAAGCACCTTCAGGAAACTAAGGTGATCAGGAACAGCCACCATGAATTCACCAAGAGCGGGTCATAGATTCATAGATGTTAGGGTCGGAAGGGACCTCAATAGATCATCGAGTCCGACCCCCTGCATAGGCAGGAAAGAGT